AAAAAAAAAAAAGAAAAGAAAAAATAAAAGAAGCGTATGAAGACAACTGAAACTACACAGATACAAGCCAACGATAGCTGATGCAAGACTGTGTTGATGGGTGAAAAGGAAAAAAGTGTATACCTTATCGATGAGCTGGTTTAAGCTGTTCTTCAGCTTTGTGAACTGAAAATGGAGACTTGGGACTGTAAAACCCTACAGAGAGGGTCGACAAGGGTTTCTATAGGCGGGGATAAATGTGAAGTTTTTTTTTTTAAAGGGAAATGTTCGGTTAATGATAGGCCGTTGGATTCGCCTTGTGAGTTCTCAGCCGTTGATGAAATCAGGGCAGAGCATTCACAACTTTACAAGTCGAAAACTCGAGAACCTTGGATTGCGATATTTATTGAAAGGGAAAATTTCACTTTTGCTACTCGAAAAGTACCTACTTTTCGCTTTTGAAACCCGTGTTTTCGACTTAATCAATACTAGTACGTAAGTATGAAATATCAATTAATTTTGGTCCCAAACGTCAGTTGACCGTAAGTCAACTAACGAAAACTGGCTGAACAAGTTCCTTCTTCTTCTCCAATGGGAAAAAATAGAAATAAACCTGCTGGTTCCTTTTTTGGGCGAAAAAAAAAAAAATTGCTCGTCTTTTGGGGAGATTTCTGGCCAAGTCATCATTCTTCCAGCGCAAAAAAGAAAATTCGACCATGAGCACTTCAAGGGGAAGCTGGAATTCCAAAAATAATGGTCAACCAATGGAGATGACTTGCAACTGTCGAATAAGAGTCTACTTGAAGACCTCTTGGAGTCGAAAATATCCAGGAAGAAGATATTGGGCATGCCCTAACTATGGTGTAAGTATTTAATTACTCATTAACTTTTTTTTTTTTTAATTTGGTTAATGTAACAAGTATTTGTACAAGTTGTGCAGAAATCTGGTTTTTGTGGATTTTTTGTATGGTTGGATCTATAAATTTGTGAAAGAGCAAAGAATATTATATCCGGTTTGCTGGAAAAAAAATAAATAAATATGAAGATCAAATTGAGCAATGCAAGATGAAGAGTGCTCAAATAGAGGCTCAGTTATTGGAGGCAATGAGCAAGGTGAATGATACCAACATTGCATTGGTTGTGTACAAGAATAAGGCCAATAAATTATGGGTTGCAATAATCCTTCTCTCATTGTTGGTCCTTGTCAAATTCTGTTGGTCATTGCAGTAATCCTTCTCACAGGTGTATGACTCATAAAACCACCATGCATAAACTCAATTGTGAATAGAGTTGGTTCTGTCAGAGGATCTACAACCAAATATATATATATATATATATATATATATATATATATAAACACCCCCTGATCACAGCCACTCAACAACAACAATAATAAACAATCTCACAAATTAAAAAACGCTAATATGTTCAATTGAAAAAGCCCTAATTTATTTTTGAACAAAAAACCCTAATTTTTAGGGAAACCCTAAACCCTCAACACACAGCCAATCAACAACAACAAAAATAAGCAAAATTAAAAAAACACTAATATGTTAAATTGAAAAGGCCCTAATTTGTTCAACTGAAGAAAAAACCCTATTTTTTAGGGAATCTCTCAATTGAAACCCTCGGCCAATCAACAACAACAAAAATAAAGAATCTATCACAAATGAAAGAACCCTAAGTTGTTCAAATGAAAACCCTAAATTATTCTGTAAACTGAAAACCCTAATTTTTTAGATGTCCATATGAAATAACAAGCAATCGAAAAAATTGAAAAAAATATTTGACAAGGAAGACGAGACTTACTTAACGTATTCAGGTGGCAGTCCACATATAATCCTTCTCGCCATAGATTCAGATGGCTCGTCGGATTTTTCTGCAGATGCAACGTCAATATGCCCGTCGCGATTCTTTCTGAGACACCACACCAATTGATTGAAAATATGGTGAAGATTGTCGTCTCAACTAATGACTGTCACCTCAACAAATTTGAAGAAGAAAATCGCAATTAGGGTTTATTTCTGTACTGATTTGAGAATTGAGACTGAATGCACGGTCGAATTGGATGGAATAGGCTCAATAGGTTTTTTGGAACATGGTAACCGGCTAAAGCCAGTTTCCGTTAGTTGACTTACGGTCAACTGACGTTCGGGACCAAAATTGATTGATTTTTCATACTTACGTATTAATATTGATTAAGTCGAAAACACGAGTATCAAAAGCGAAAAGTAGGTATTTTTGGGTACCAAAAGTGAAATTTTCCCTTTATTGAAACTAATAATAAAATAAAACATATCATGGAAAACACATTATATTATAATAATGTAAGTCATTTGGAAATGATATGTGGTTAAAATTATTTGGTAGATACCCAAGAGCGCTTGGATGAGATGACTTGGGTCTCTTCCAGCTTAACCAGTGGTCTCGAGTTCGAGCCCTGGGAATGCAGCAGTGTTAAAACTCTTGAAGGAGAGCTTTGCCGCCCTTGTGGTCCTACCCGACTCGATTCCGGATTAGTCGGTTCCCCTGTGGATCCGAAAACTGGAAGGTCCTTGTACCAAAAAAAAAATTATATATTTGGTAGATAAATAATAATGAATTAAAGTTGATGTGATTTGTGATGATGAGTGATTAGTATTATTTAATTATACTGATAAAAAAACAAAAATAGGAGAGTTGGTTGGATTTTGATTAGAATAAACTAACATATGAAAAACGATTAAAATCGGTTATGACTCATATCCAATTGCGGCCGATAT